GAAAATAACCCAACGTTCTTTGGTGCCACTCTTAACTGCATGGGAGGTTTTATTTGTGCTTGGGGAGGAGTGGGTGGTAATGGGGAAAAATGGTGGCTGTTGATTGAGCTTGTCTGTCAGCCAAATATCTCAAACCTCTAGATCTGTTTCAACTGGTGATCAGTCCTGGTGTTTTAGGTACTCGCTAAAGAGAATTTTGTTCCTGTATTAAATCTATGGATCTCTGTTCATCTCAAGGAACTTAAGCCCATCTCTTCTGTTCCTACTGCTTCACCTTCATTCAAAAGCAACTTCAGAGGTTAACCCTCAGTTAATCTTCTCTAGTACCGACTGCATCTCAGTTGATCAATGTGGGGACAAATCTGTTTCCGGCAACATATTGGGATGAGGAACTTCAGATTCAGATATAGGCCATTTGGGAGGGATGAGAGAGATGAGACAGGGTCCTGAAAAATGGGCAGGAAAGAAAAATAACAGGAGAACTCTGAAGACGGCAACAAGAAGATACAGACGGAAGGAGCAAGAAATAAGGTAGGACTTGGAAACTGGGTGTGGGGTTAAGGGAAAATGAAGGACCAAAGAGAAATGAAAGACGTTTTTAAAAAGGAGTTGCCAAATAAGAAATGGCAACGTGGCAAAAGAAAACTATATACACTATGTAGGCAGGTCAGAAACTGGAGAGAAAACTGAGGTGGGGAAGAAAAACAGCAATGAAGCACCTTCTTTTTAGTTACTTGCTTGATCTGTCACATCACACATTCGAACTAAAAATCTTAGCCATCCTAGCTCCGTAATGTTTAACCTTAAGAAAGATGAATGCTGTATTATCCTGTCTAATAAAGTGAGATCAGAGTGGGAGAAGGAAAAGCTGTCACTTTGTGCTGTGACATGATAGCTAGAAATAATAGCAATCCAAGAGGAATTAAATTAACTGGGATGAATAGAGGTGAATGTCAGTAGCGAATGTCACTGACAGAGTGCTAGATAGCATGATTTATAAATCAGTGTCAGATTAAGAGCTGCTTTTCAGATTTGCACTACTAATTAACTCTTCCATGTTTCCTTCCTTTTTTCCTTTTGTTATTAAAATCTATTGTTTTTTTAATAAGAAAATCATTATTGCAGAATGATTTTCTCTTCCCCATGTAGGATAGGAGTGGTCCATACTCACAGTCTCAGTGATATATTTTTCAAAGATGTTTCGGCTGGCTTTTAAGGTCTCAGAACATTTTTTTTTTTAAGCCGCTTCTTTTTTTGTCTGCAAGACTTCACAGAATCACAGAAATCACTTCATATTCATATTCCCTTTTTATTACATATTTTAAGCTGTGCCCTTTTTATGGAACTCTTTAAGAACTATCTTGGCAAATTTGCATCACATTATTTGAGTTTTATAATCTTAAATATGACGTGTAGTAAGTTCCCCAATATACTTCCATAGTAATGATTTTGAATTATCTTTGTGGTCCATCATTCACAACTTTTAATGCCACAAAATTACACTTTTGAAACCTGATATGTTTGGCTTATAATAGTGCATTATAAAGCGAGGAATAAACAAACAGACCTCCCTTTTTGTTTCCTGTTACCACCTTTTCCATATGTGCAGTCTAACTAGCAAGTAGGCCTTAGGCTGGCTACATTTATTCCTTCATGCCAAGCTTATAGACTGATAAAATGCTGTAAAGTAAAGGGGATCCTAGGAGTAAAGGAGATCCAAAATAGACTTTTTTTGGATAATTTGAAGTTTTGTGTTCCCCAGATCTGCAGGAGGAAGGTACTCACTGTAACTGTTTACTTTTGTTTCATGCACGTTTAGAAGGTATTCCAGCACTTCAGAGGAGGCATTCCTATTGTTTAATGTCTGTGCATTCAGCTTTTATCCTCCATTCTGCGCTTACTTTCTAAAAATTCAGTTATGCTTTATTATTTTATCAGATTTCCTTTATGTTGACAGAGCATACTGTATTATTTACTATCATTTCTAATTAATCCTGAGCTCTAGCAATCCTCCTGTTTCTGCTCATCACTTTTTTCATCCAAAATTTTCTAAATGTTACGTTGCAGAACACCTCTGGTCTCTATATGCTGCAATAAGGATGGGCATGCAAGACATTTTATCAGTGTCTTGCATTATTCTACTGTCTCCCTATGTATCCTGACCCAAATGTCTTCTGAAATAGTTCCTAACATTGGATAAATGATTTATTTTAGCAGACGTTTGTTTGTTTGTTTGTTTGTTTTTGTATCAGTCGAATTATGCTATAGTTAATTTGGAGTATTTTCATGTGTTCACAGGTGTTGGTGTGTTAAACAATTTACTGTATGCAGTAGGTGGTCACGATGGCCCTTTGGTAAGAAAAAGCGTGGAAGTGTTCAATCCTGTCACCTGTACGTGGAAGCAGGTTGCAGATATGAACATGTGCAGAAGGAACGCAGGTGTGTACAGCAGTCACTCTAAAAAGCTAGTAGTGTAACTAGGTGCAAATGGGATGCTCCTTTTTCTTTTAAATGGCTTGCTGCTGCTTTGATGATGTCACAGATAGAAATCATGCTTTCATGGGTATGAATGAGCTGATGATTAATTTTCGTAATTGGTTTCCTGTCTTTTTTTTTTTTAGGTGTTTGTGCTGTAAATGGGCTCTTGTATGTAGTTGGAGGAGATGATGGCTCCTGTAATTTATCAACAGTGGAATATTATAATCCAACAACTGATAAATGGACAGTTGTGTCATCTTGTATGAGTACAGGAAGGAGCTATGCAGGTAACGTTGTCCAGGGGGTTTTTAGAAGACTTTTTACAGCATATTGAAATGTAGTCAGGATAAGAAACTTGATAAAGCAAGCATTCCAGCACAAAGTACTGTCAAAAATAAAAGCTAAGATACTAGAATAGGTACGAAGAACTTGATGGTTCATTTTGAATAAAGACTTCAAACAATTATTCCCTAAAATGAAAAAGATGTTGAACTGTATTGAAGAAGAATTTAGCGTGTAATGATGAGTTAGAAGATTGCAGTGTGACTGGTCCCTTTTTTCCCCAAACGAGCTTTTGTAATTGTCTCAATTTGCAGCAGTCCGATTCTGAAGCTCTCTGTGGGAAATTGCTATTTAGAAAATGAGCTGTTGTAGGAATCTTCTCCTTTAATAACCGCAGTTTCTTAAGTTATTACAGAATCTGTGTATGTAAAGGATATATTAACTATAAGGTTAAGGTGTTTTTTTTTTCCAAATAACAGAAACGTTCAGAAATCTACACTGCTTCATATAAGTTTGTTATATAATTGATGTACTATTAAAAATAAATCAAGAGCATAATACTAGCCTGCAGCTAGCGTAATGCTGAAAAGCTGTGCATCAGCATCAGGTTTTCCTGTTTTCCCTAGACTTACACCTTTCTTCCTTACTCCAGGTGTTACAGTTATTGACAAGCCGTTATGATCGACGAGGGGGTTTTCAATTTGATTATGCACTAGAAGCAGTCTTCAAGTGTATTTGAAGTGACTGAGTCCCTAAGCACTTCTCTACTTGTAGCTGCACCTTGAGTCACAGTGGAAGATGTGGCTGTCTACAATTACAGATGATGGATGATGAAGATTACTCTAGGTAGAAGCAATGCGTAGGACTATTCTGCGGTTGAACAGGGGCTGATTGAATTTTTTTGAAGTGTAGTAAGACCGTTTCTTTTTATACTGCAAGACCTTCAAACACAGAAGCCACTTCCATAAGGACGGACTTATGTCAGTTGTGACTGAGAAACAGATTGTCAGTGGAGAATGGTGTGTATTCTGGTGAAAGTAAATCTGTCTTATTTTTTCCAGAGACTAATAAACATATTTAAAGAAATGAACTGTCAGTCTTCATAGTAGGTATCGAATTCCACCTCAGTAATTCAAGCTGGCATGGGGGAAATCTGTTTCCTTTTATAAAACTTTTGTTACATAACTATAATATGTGCATAACGTATGTGTGAGCATAAGTTGCTTTCTATTGAAACTCTTCAAAAACCAACTTTATTATTTATAATTTGGCACAGTACTTTGAATATGCCCGTACTATGTTGTAAAAGAGAGTTGTATTTTTTGATATTTAACAATACTTAACACTACTAATTCCCACAGAAGGAGATCAGAGATGGTATAACGATCTTTGAACAGGTCTAATTTCGAGGTCTTTTTAATAAAAATGTTGTCTGTACTTAATGTTTGTTTTTTTTTCTGTTCAATTTTGGTCACCTTTAGATGTTACTTCTTTCTTACCTTTTTATGCGAAAGGTGATTTGGCATGAAAATAACTGAAAATTTATAATGAATGTGTGAAATTAAGTTGAACTTGCATGGTACTAAGGTCTCTTAATGCGTGTAACCTTAGCTTCTGTTAGCTGATACCTGGATATACTGTATGTGGCCATGTTCATAGAGCAGCTCGTTTCTATTCATTCTTGGACGGCCTCCTTTTAACACGACCAAAGTTATTGTCATATTTCAGATATTTTCTTCAAATAAACAGTTTGTATATGGTTTCCTAATGCCAACCGATTGCTTCAAGCTCGTGTTTCTCCACACACCTCATCTGCCACCAGGGCAGAGATTTCTGGGGAGAAAAGTGGTGAGGTAACCCTCAGGTCAGGAAAGACTGTGAGGTAGAGGTGGCTGAGGTTGGGAAGCAGCCACCATTTGGTGAACGGGATGGTTCCGAAAGGGTTTTACTCAAGCCACTGTACTGGAATTGCAATTTCACGTTATTAGTGGGATGCCTTGGTAGCTCGATCCCCGCGCTGCAAGGAGGAAGCTTCCAAGCAGGCGAGGAGAAGCCCCTCACAGGCGGAGGGCAGCACCCCGCCCTGCCCACCTGCGGGCCCGCCTCCTCCTCATCACCTCGCGCACGTCACCCGGCCGCCCGCCCGCCTCATTGGCCGCGCGCCGAGGTCTCACTATCCTCACTCCACCCCTCCAGCCAATCGCCGCGCGCGCGCGGCAGCTCCGACCCGCCCCCTCCCACGCCTGACTCTCCTCCGTCGCCTCCCGCCGACCAATGGGAACCGCGTCGGGGTTACCGGGCGGCCAATAGGAGGGCGCAGGCGAAGAGCCGGCCGCGCCGCACTTGTTATTGCCGCCGTCTCCCGCCGTGCGACGGGGCCGTCGCAGCGCTGAGGTGAGCGAGGGGCGCGCCGGGCCGCTGAGGCGGGGGTCGGGGCTGCGAAGGCCGGCGGGCGGTCGCGGGCCGCGGGCCGCTCTGGGTCTGGGGTGCCGTCCGGCCGGGGCTGCGGGCAGAGTGAGGGCCGAGCCGGGCGTCTCCTTGTGTACCCAGCTGGAGCTTTATTCTTCCATGCTGCGCTGTAGGAAAAGGGGCTGTGTTAATTGTTAATCTACTCCTCTCTTCTGCTGGTCGAATTCGTTGATTAACGCCTAAACTCACCGCCTTTCCGACCAGTAACCGCTGCTTGTTCCCTTGCAGACGTTCAGGTTACGCGCGGACAGGGCCCTGACTGTGATGTTTTGTGCCTGAACGATGGCGGCGAACGACAGCGTTAACATCCTGAACTCTGCTTATCTGGCAGTGGAATATATAGACTCCTTCCTGCCTGACAACCCTCTGCAGCAGCCGTTTAAAAATGCCTGGAATTACATGCTGGATAACTACACCAAGTTCCAGATAGCGACGTGGGGGTCGCTTTTAGTTCACGAAGCTTCCTACTTCTTGCTCTGCGTACCGGGATTCATCTTTCAGTTTATTCCCTGCATGCAAAAGTATAAAATCCAGCCGGTAAGACAAAGCAGTGGGTTGCACACTGACCTACCTGGCTGCTGTTGGTTTGTGTTTTATGTGGCCATGTTTTGTCTCGGTCACTGCGAGCAGTTCGGAAGGAACAGAGGAAAATCAGAGTGTTTGTGATGAGGGGACAAAGAGGTTTGTTTTTTTTTCTGAGGGGGAGAGTGACCTGTCATAGAATCACAGAATGGCCAGGGTTGGAAGGGACCTCAAGGATCATGAATCTCCAACCTCTCTGCCACATGCAGGGCCACCAACCTCCACATTTAATACCAGACCAGGCTGATCATTCTATTGACAGTTTTTCCTCCGTTCTTTGTAATAGGAATTGGAAATAAACCACTTTCTGGAATCGCCGTGGTCATTTGATACGGTGTCTTCCTGCAAACATCTCTTTTTTCAAGGCAGTTTATCACTTGATAACTTTATCTTCAGCTTCTGTTGTATTCTTCTAGCTATGGCAACACTTTGGTGGAAAGAAGAAAAATGAACTTAGATTTGTGTTGAATTGCTGAATCTGAAATGTTCCCACTAATTACTGAAATAGCAAGAATAGTTTAACGGGGGCTGGCAAGGACAACTTCTGATGAGAGACTTCAGAAAATGTTCAGGGAACGGTTGGATGTTGTGTTGAGGGACATGGTTTAGTGAGAACTATTGTGATAGGTGGATGGTTGGACTGGATGATCTTGAAGGTCTTTTCCAGCTTTGGTGATTCTGTGAAAAGCAGTTTAGAAAAGTGAGAGCCTTTGTGAAATCCAGGCTCATGAAACTGATGTTCCCTGGGTTAATTTGTGTGATGGGAAGACCAGCTACCTGTCTTATAAGGTGAAATGAAATCACCTTGGAAGTCATCTTTGCAGCACTTTGGTTACGTGCAGTAGAAATGTCTAACTCATTTTTCTTTTTTTTTTTCCTTAGGATAAACCAGAAACGTGGGAAAAACAGTGGAAGTGCTTCAAAACGCTTATGTTCAATCACTTTTTCATTCAACTTCCTCTAATTTGTGGCACGTACTACTTCACAGAATATTTTAACATCCCATATGAGTGGGAAAAGATGCCTAGATGGTACGTAGATATGTCATGTACGCTCATACTGAATGGCACTTGCTTACACACATAACAAAAACTTTATTAGAGTTTGTGACATTAACGTAACTTTTTTGGCTAACAAACTATGTTTGCTAACCAGCCTTGAGACTAAATTGCAGTAGGAGCTAATTAGAGCTTCCTAGGGTCACATTGGCTCGTGTAAGATACCAGGTGGGTGATGTGCTGTGGGGTTTTTTATCATCCAGCTTTTTTTTTATTATTCTCTATTATTTCCTCCTAAGTGTTTCTTTGCCCCACCTCGTTTTATTTCACAGCAGCAATGTGTTACTCAAGGGAGGGCAAGCTGCCTCATGTTTCCCTCTTTTGCCCTAAACTGCTGAAAAATGCTGCAATACTTAGAAATGCCTTTTTTTTTTTTCTCACCAGTAGTTGTTTTTACAACAGAAGGTCATTCATTTCTAGTTGTTTTCTGTCTGGTAAAATATCCAGCATTGTTTCTGTATCTAGGTCTTAGATTGCAGGTGTTCCTTATAGGCTGTACATGTGATGTTGAAATGACAGTTTGCTACACTGCACGTTAACTCTGACATATCAACAGATGAGCTACGAAGGCTGATGCATATTTTTACATAACAGTGCACTGATGTTATCTTTTCAACCAGTAATATACGTTTCCTACCTTTACTATCTTGTCAACTCCTTTGTCTTTCAAGGCTGTGTATTTGCAAGTGTCTTCTATAACTCTTGACTCTTCTATTTCTTTTATTTTCATTTTTAAGGTATGTTCTGCTTGCCCAGTGCTTTGGGTGTGCAGTGATTGAGGATGCCTGGCACTATTTCCTGCATCGACTGCTGCATCACAAAAGAATATACAAGTACATCCATAAGGTTCACCACGAGTTTGTAGTATGTATTCCTTGATTTGATTTGATTTGATTTGATTGCTTTTAGTGTATGCACATTCATACAGCTTGTTTAAAGACTTTATTTGGCAGACTTAAGGGTTTTGCATCCTTCTGACAGTGGCCTTTCCTTGAGCTCAGCGTCGATCACAGCCATCCATTTTGTTTCTGGATGCACCACCTGTTCTTTGATTATATTTCAAGAGAATGAAAGGGTGCACTTTTAAAAGCATAGCATGCTTATTAGGGGGGAGGGATGCAATAGGTTTTCTGGTTATGGCTGTTCATCACTTTGCTTTGCTGCAAACTGATGAATATTTGGTGATGTACTTAGATCTGCAGCAGTAGCTGCCATTCTCCTCTTGGCAGCCCCCTCAGATTTCTAGCAGGAGCAGCTTCTGGCCAGCATCCTCAAGTATATGTAGTACTTCATATAGAAGTGATCTATAAGCTAACAGCTGTTTCACTAAGAACTTCCCCTGACAGTACAAGCTGATGATTTTAAAATCATCCTTAAGCCAAAGTGGACTTAATATTTTCTTCTGACAATGTAACGTTGAAGGTTGTCGGTTTGATTTTATTTTTATTTTTTAATTTAATATTTTTATGTGAGCATTCCACTGTTGAAAACTCTCTGTGGAATTTCTTTTTTGGGAATGCCTGTGTGTGTATGTATGTGCATATGCACATATATGTGTGTGTGTGTATCACAGAATGGACCAGGTTGGAAGGGACCTCAAGGATCATGAATCTCCAACCCCCTGCCACATGTAGGGCCACCAACCTCCACATTTAATACCAGTCCAGGCTGCCCAGGGCCCCATCCAACCTGGCCTTAAACACCTCCAGGGATGGGGCATCCACAGCCTTTCTGGGCATCCTGTATACATACATAAATGCTTCGGTTCAATCTCATGTTTTGAATGATAAGAATTTAATTAATTCATAAAGCTGATCTATCAATATGGGCATTTGTTCATTTTGATAGGTTTTGATTGTGGTTTTTTTTTTTTTTTTCCTTAAATGACAAATTATTTTGGCTTCCTTCTGTTTTGTTCTACTTCCAAGACTGGATATATTGCAAAGCTGATAGGAGCTTGCCAAATGTTTTAACATTCCTATTCTTTGGCCAAGGGCAATGGTAAGCTGAAGCAGAAGGTTTTGGCTTTAATATGGAAGCACTTGAAATTGCTAATGGAATCATAATCATTATAAACTTGAAGTGCTGTTTCCTGTTTTAGCAAGGACCCTTGTGTTAAAACCCTTGGTCAACCAGGCTGTTTCCTTCACTCACAGCACTGTTCTGTTTCTCTTGTTGTAGGTAGGACGTGGGGAATGCCATAAAATAGTGATTTGGATTTGGGAAAATAGAAAATCAAAAAGAGTAACAGTTTTCCTGTCTCTTCTGTTTTGTAGTCTCCATTTGGAATGCAAGCAGAATATGCACATCCTTTGGAAACGCTCATCCTTGGAGCTGGCTTCTTTATTGGAATTGTTGTCTTCTGTAACCACGTGGTTCTTCTGTGGGCGTGGGTAATATGTCGCCTGATGGAAACCATTGATGTGCACAGGTGAAATCTTTGTTCCTTTTTTATAGTTTCACTTTTCCCTAGGTCTGTCTTAAAATTAGCTGTCTCTTTCACTGAGCTGAGCTTTGCTGCTTTATTGTTTTTTTACTGAAATGTGCTTTTACACATCTTAGAATGGCACGGTCTACTCAGCTAAGCTCTGTTCTGTTTTGAAGTTGTGTAGTCAGTGAATCTTGTTGATCAAAAGAGTGCTATAGATGAGCACCCTGAGTGTGATGTCAGCAGCCTGGCTTTCGTCAGGATGTTTGGCATACAGATGACCTCATGTATCTTAGAATGTCAGAAATAATGGATAACTTCATATTTCAGCTCCAGGAATTCTTTCCATTTAGGATTTGATGGTTTAGATTCATCTGTGAGTAAACGAGCTTTTTTTTCCTGTGTTCAAGAGGAAGGGGAGAACTACTTTTTTTTTACCTATTAGCATCTTGACCTCCTGTCTGGAAATACACTGTGAAGCATGTAGTGCCTTACTGAAGGCAATGTGAAGGATTTTAGTGGAACACGAGCTATTAACTGACTTGTACAAACCATTGCCATTTTAGGAGTATTTGGTCCTAGGCTGAGAAGCACACGTTCTGACATGCTAAAGCAATCCATGCAAAATAGAAATCTCATCTCTCAATGATTACGTCTGCAGGAGGTGTTTGTAACAGATTATACTGTGTTCTCCCCACTAGGTGGTGATGTTTTCCAGTACTGCTGAGCGAATGAGTTGAAATGGCTTTGAAGCAGAGCAGTCTGGTTTTAATATTACTTTGGTTTTTCATTTTCAGTTTTAAACCTTTGAAGTACTTGCAATAAGCAGAAAATGATTAAGAGCAGAAAGACTACAACTGTAGTTGATTTGAGCTGCTGTTTGAGGAGGAGCTGAGCTGGCTGATATTTATAGCTTGCTGTCACTAAGATTTTTTATTCCCTTCTACTAACATCACTTTTCAGACAGCTAAGTCTGCTTAACAAGCAGGAGATCAGCCTCTGTCATCTCCTAGGTGTTTCTGCTAAATACTTAGTGTTGCTCAGCTGAGCTGAAAAGGTCACTGCATGCCAAAAAGCCATTGTTAACAGAAGCATTTGCCTAAGACAGGAGGAGATTTTGTTGTAGTAGGGTTACTTCAGGACCTTATAAAACAAAAAGATTTTTTTTTTCCCATATTACAAAAAGAACAAATTGGTGCCTATATTTTGTAGTAAGGTTCCTTCCTAAATATAATTAACAATTTTTTTTTTTTCCTTTCCCCTCTAGTGGCTACGATATTCCACTGAACCCTCTTCATCTGGTGCCTTTCTATGCTGGAGCCCGTTTTCATGATTTCCATCACATGAACTTTGTTGGCAATTATGCATCGACCTTCACGTGGTGGGACAGAATCTTTGGCACAGACTCTCAATTCATTGCCTATAAAGAAAAAGAAAAGAAGCAGCAACTCAGAATGAAGAAGGCTAACTAAAAATCCAGTGTAAAAATTGTGATGCCTAATACTGGTAGTCAACTTTTGCTTTTCTTTAAAGCAAAGTCATGATTGGGTATTAAGCATAAATCATTTTCCTTGGCTACTAAGTGGTAGGGAAAAAAAAAACAAACAGGAATTAAACTGCAGTACCTTCCTAATGGGAATGCTTTCTATTTTATATGTAAGCACCACATATATTTTAACTACAAATTTAAAGATGATGCAAAAAAGACAGAGATTACTTGTGTCTGTCCATGTTTTTGTTTTTTTTTTTGCAAAAAATTATTCAGTTTTATCTTCAACATTGCTCCCTTTCGATCCTTTTGATAGAATCGTATATGTTCACTGAGATTGGACTTCCTTTTTAAAAATATACCTTCTTAAATTTGTAAGATCAAATAGCAGACCATACTAACTGGTATCAGCACCGTAATTTAAATATTGGGTAAAATTTTGCTTAAAACCAAAATATCTGTTAATAAAAAAGCATGGACAGGCAGGCCTTTTGCACACTGGATAATACAAGCTGTTAATCTCAGAATACCTGGCTAAACATGAGTTAGCAGAGACATTCCTGATCTAGATTTATTATGTTATTTTAGGGTACAGATAAAAAGAATAGAAGTTTTTATTTGAACAGACTTTGTTTTTGCTGCTCTTTGAAGTTGCTCTGTCAGTTTACTTAGCATTTACATTACATTCCTTTCAGTGTTGTAATTTGCTGAACTGACTTGTTGCTGTATTTGCACTTGTGACTGATGAAATAAACGTGGTTTGGTTTAAGATGTGTATTACACCTTTCATATGTTTTTAACACAAAACTGACCAAAAACATTTGGGATGCAGTGTCTTGCTTTGTTTATTTCTCCAATGAAGAAATATAGTTTCTGTTCAATTCTAAATATTTTACAGATGGAACTGTTACACAGAGACAGCAGTAAGAAATAGATCTACTTGCTGAATTGCTGGCCTGAGCTCTCAGTGGTGGAAGCAACCTCTTTAATCAGGTTTCAAAGATTGCCCTTATCCTCTTTGCTTTGTCAACTCCCACTCGTCTTGCAGCTGCACTTAGCTTTATTCTTGCTGAACTCCCAGCCTTAAAGTACAAGGGGCTTTCAGTGCTATGGAATGTCTCTGTTCCTATAATTCTGTTCATTGATTCTTAGCTCACCTCTGTGTCTGTGCAAATGCAGTAACAAAATCACCACTGTGAGCCAGCCAACTGCTTAAACACTCTCTTCATTGGTAAATACTGTTTCTCCAGCTATAGGAGCTCAGCCTTAGCAATTTGGTACCAAGCTACAACATATATTGCATCTGACAAGAAGTTTAAAAGTAATGAATGTGACAGTAATGCATCACTTATGCCACCTTTTTTAGGTACCCTGTGTTTGGGGTTTGTCTGATGTTTTTTTTTTCTTATTTGAGTCCTTATTTTGCTTTGCTACTCATTGCTCCTTGGGTTTTTGGATTATTTTATGCAACACAAACACCTTTTGTCCACCAGTATGAGATAGGTGCTATTACATTATGATGTACCTTGCCAGGTATACCACAGAATGTTGGTAGACAGATCCATGTTTGTAAGCACTAAGACTTTTTCTTCCTCATCCAGACTCTAAGTGACGACTGCTGAGTGTTTGAAGGTCATTTTAAACATTTATTTTTATAGGAACACGATACCAGTGAAACCTGCATGTTGGCTCTGAATTTATTGCTAACTCTGGTGTCTGATTCACAGTTTCCAGATCTTCATCCCATCACTGTTGCCCCTCTGTCACTGTTAGCTTTCTGGTGAACCTTACCCACAGCTGTCAGGCCCACTTCTTTACAGTGGTTCTTGCTGTAATTTTCTATCTGTGAGGGTAAGTAAACACAATCAAATCTAGTTTTAATGGTATTTTTCATCAGCCAGATAAATTATATCACGTCCTCTGCAGCAAGACATTTCTCCTATTTCTCACACCCCTTCTGTGGCTTGGCTCTGAATTCTCAAGGCGTTTTTCCAGTGTAGCTGCAAGGACTAAGGGTAGTAGTTCTGGCTCATTCACACTGACACCTCTTTGGTGGTAGAATCACATCCTTCCTTTTAAGTACTGCCCTTCTGTTCAAACATTCAAAGATAAAATTAGCAGTTCTGCAGCGCTGCACTGGAAAATACGGTGGAGTTACCTGTCTGTTGTGATCTCTGGTTGCTACTCAAGGTGCCACTTGCCACTGCGTTTTGTATCTCTTATTCTTCAGTGTAATTTACTAATTGCTGTGCTGAAGTATTATTACTCATTTCACAGAATCACAGAATGGCCCAGGTTGGAAGGGACCTCAAGGATCACAAATCTCCGACCCCCCTGCCACATGCAGGGCCACCAACCTCCTCATTTAATGCTAGACCAGGCTGCCCAGGGCCCCATCCAACTTCCAGGGATGGGGCATTTAAGTAGAGCTTGACTTACCACGTAACTTAAACCACATTCCCAATTCCCAAATGTGAACATCACATCCATTTCAGATGCAATTCAAGCCTGTAAAAAGCAAAAAAAAAAAGTTTGTCTCCACTCCCTGGCAAGCACAGCAAGCTCTGCAATACCTGGTAGGGCTGAGTCTTTAGCAATGTTTATTTATAGGCTTGTGGTGAGTCATGATCTGCTGAAAAAAACAGATTCAGGCAAGTCAAAAGAATTTGAAAATGTATGTGTGAGAATGGAGGACTGGATAGATTAAAAGAGCTGATTTCTGTGTCAACTCTACATTGTATTTTGGAGAAATCACCTTTAGGAGCAGCCAATGAAAGCTGCTTCACAGTGTGAGGATTTTGGACCTTAACAACGATTGTGGAATAAGGGAACAATGTCAGGAGACTGAAAGGGAAAAACTGCAAACAAGTACAGGCACTTTGGTGTGTGTGTCATATATATGTGTCATGCATACAAATGTATCATATGGGAACTACTTTTGCAGGTCTGAGTTTCTGATAGTGGATGGGTTTCCACATTGGTGTTGTACAACCATAGAACCGTTTGAGTTGGAAGGGATCCTTACAGGTCCTCTAGTCCAACTGCACTGCACTGAACAGGGACACCTACAGCTCCATCAGTGCTTGGAGGCCCTTCCAGCCTGTCCTTGGCTGTCTGCAGGATTGGGGTCTCATCCACCACCTCTCTGGGCAACCTGTGCCACTGCCTCACCACCCTGAGCGTGAAAAACCTCCTCCTTATGTCCCCTACATCGGTGGTAATGATGGTATTCCCCTAGAGATACTATTTCCATGCTGCTGCTGTGCACTGGAACCAGACAGCCCATCGTGCAGGAGAACGTCCGGAGGTTCACAAAGGGCTGTTTGGAACACTTCCTGAGAGCTGATTTGGTATAGATCAGCGATAGGAGAGGATGTGCCATGGGCCCACTCTTTTAGATTAGAGGATGGGGGCAAACCAGTTGTTAAATAACCAGAGGCGGGGTTCTATTTGTGGCAGGAAATTTGTAAACCTGATGTGGATGTTGCTTGTTAGGGATTTGCTGATTTGCCTTTCTCAGCTGTCGGTTTGGGGCATTTTGACATGGTCCCTATCAGAGCAGGCTGAGCTGATTGCGGGCAGTGCCGGAGCACGGAACTGATCACACAGAATCACACAGAATCACCAAGGTTGGAAAAGACCTTCAAGATCATCCAGTCCAACCATCCACCTATCACCAGTTGTTCTCACTAAAATGTCCCTCAACACAAAACCCAAATGTTCCTTGAACACCTCCAGGGTTGGTGACTTCACCACCTCCCTGGGCAGCCCATTCCAGTGCCTGACCACTCTTTCAGAGTAGTATTTCCTAACGTCCAGCCTAAATCTCCCCTGGTGCAGCTTGAAGCCATTCCCTCTAGTCCTATCACTGTTACACAAGAGAAGAGGCCGACCCCCAGCTCACTACAACCTCCCTTCAGGCAGTTATAGAGAGCAATGAGGTCTCCCCTGAGCCTCCTCTTCTCCAGGCTGAACAATCCCAGCTCACTCAGCCGCTCCTCATAGGACTTGTGCTGCAGACCCCTCACCAGTTTTGTTGCCCTTCTTTGAACCCGCTCCAGAGCCTCAATGTCTTTCTTGCAGTGAGGGGCCCAGAACTGGGCACAGCACTCAAGATGTGGCCTCACCAGTAGCGGGTACAGGGGGACAATCACTGCCTTGTTCCTGCTGGCAGCACTATTTCTGACACAAGCCAGGATGCCATTGGCCTTCTTGGCCACCTGGGCACACTGCTGGCTCATGTTCAGCCGAGCATCAACCAACACCCCCAGGTCCATTTCCTCTACGCAGTCTTCCAGCCACTCAGCCCCAAGCCTGTAGCGTTGCCTGGGGATTTACGTGAGCAGCTCCCCTCGGAGCATTCCCGTAGAGAATAACGGGATTTGCCCTGTGAGCAAGTGCTATCCGGTATCCCCGGCGTTATTCCGCAATCACTCTGGCACGGGGGTGAATCCATTCATTCAGGTGCTCCTGGCAGGGCAGCGTCCTCACAGCAGCCGACTCCCAGGAGCGAGCCCGCCCCGAGTCCCTCCCGCCGCGGGCACCGGCGCCGCTCACGGCCCGGCGCGGCCCCTCCCCGCCCGCCCGCCCGCCCGCCTCCTCTCCCCCTCCCGCCGGGCGGGCGGCAGCTGCGCGGCCGCAGGCGGAGGAGCCGGGCGGGATGGCGGCGCGGGAGCTGCGGCTGTTGCTGCTGGCGCTGTGCGCGCTGCTCGCTGCCTGCCGGGCGGCCGAACCCGCGGCGACGGGCAGCAGCCGGCGAAGGAGGCTGAGCGCCGAAGAGGGCATCTCCTTCGAATACCACCGCTACGCCGAGCTGCGGGAGGCGCTGGTCGCCGTGTGGCTGCAGTGCCCGGCCATCAGCAGGATCTACACGGTGGGTCGCAGCTCCGAGGGCCGCGAGCTGTTGGTCATCGAGGTGTCCGACCGGCCCGGCGAACACGAGCCCGGTAAGGGACGGGGAGGACGCTGCGGTGGGCGATGCGGCAGCGCGGGGCGGGCGGTGCCTCCGCTCCCGGCGGAGGGGCTGCGGGCGCGGGGCTGCGCGGCGCTGCCGGCGGGAGCGGCGGTGCCGCAGGTGCGCTGCCCGCGGGGTGGGAGAAAACGGCGGGATGAGAGAACGGCGGGGTGAACGTCCCCTCTGCGTGCCGTCCGCCTGTAAGCTCGTGAATAACCGCGTTCCCCTGTGTCGTGCTGGGGTCCTTCGCAAAGGCAGCCCCGTAGATGAAAAAAGCCACATGTTTCAGTGCCCACATCACGTGCTGGGGAATGTGATGAGCGCTGACGGTTTGTCCTGTTGGGTGCTGAATATAGTTGTTTTTTTTTTTATGCTCCCTCCCTCAACCCCCCGTGGGATTAAGCGGGATTAGAAGTGGAGCACGCTCGCTGCTTGAAGCCCTCCCTCCCTCTGCAGGGCGCGGTGCAGAGCGGCTGCAGCTCTCCGCCCGCAGGTCTGCTCGGGGTCACCTGGGGAAGGGCAACAAGATGGACTCAACGCCTGTCAGCGTTGTGTTCCTCTGTCACGATTACAAAGGTGCTCACAGCATCTGCGCTGCTCCGTTCCGGAAGCTGAGCGCCCCAGTGTGATGCCAATGATCACCTTGGAGGTGTTTTCTCCTTAATAACACACCCTTTCTTCTACTGTGTAGCGGAAGGCAGCACTGTGCGTTTCCTCACATGTGCCGTTTCTGTGCGTGAGAAGAAGCGGAGCTCTGGGGCTGCCTTGCAGTCATCCCAGAGCAGGGATCCCACTTGCTGTCAAAGAATGGTGCTTCTGGTGCCAAGCGTGTCGCACAGTGGGGCCAGAACCCACCCAGAACCCGCCTCATCTATCTTCATCTAGTAGATAACATGGGGGACACTCACAGACATACATACAGATGCTTTTTCACTGCAGGCTAAGCAGCTGTCGTTATACGTGAATGTAACCCGTTCCTAACCCGTTGGGCTGCATCAAAAGAAGGATGGCCAGCAGGGTGAGGGAGCAGGTTGTCCCTCTTCGTTCTACCCTCGTGAGGCCCCATCTAGAGTTCTGCATCCAGTTCTGGGGCCCCCAACTCAGGAAAGATGTGGAGATGTTGGTCCAGAGGAGGGATGGGAGGGTGCTCAGAGGGTTGGAGCACCTCTCCTTTGAAGGCAGTGAGGGAGCTGGGCTTGTTCAACCCGGAGAAGAGAATGCTCTTGGGGGACCTCATAGCAGCCTTAATGAAGCTTATAAGTAGGAGTGAAATCAACTTTTTACACAGATAGATGGGAAGGAGGATGGTTTTAAACTAAAAGAGGTTTAGAGTAGATGTCAGTGGGAAATTTTACTCTGAGAACGTGGTGAGTTGCTGGAAAACATTCACACAACTGTGGTGCCCCATCCCTGGAGGTGCTCAAGGCCAGGCTGGATGGGGCCCCGTGCAGCTGAGCTTGTGGGTCCAGCCCTGCCCATGGCACTGGGTTGGAACTGGGTGGGTTTTGAGGTCCCCTCCAACCTAAGTCATTTTATGCTTCTACAAGGATATGTGTCACAGGGTTTGTTTTTAAATACTTAAATGAGTAAGTAAGGTACGCTATAGCTTATTAGTTTGTGATATGTAGAACTTGTGCTCTATAAGCCTGGCAGATTTGTGGAGAATTATCACTGGAATTATCCAGCGAGCCACCATGAAAACATGCAGAAATGTTCCCGCTCACTGAGTGACCAAACAAATCCACGAGGTGTCTGCAGAACAGCAGTGAAGACGTGCTGTACCAAGTAAAGAGGCTTTGCACTGAGCTCATCAAATCCAGTGCATACGCACATCCATTACGTAAGCGTGTGGATGCCATGCCCGTGCCACAGTGGTTGGGTCATGTGCAAACACCTGAATCGCCTCTTAGTTTGGAATACCAGTTGCTTTCCAAATAAATTTGTAATATTTATGCAACATTTGAAAACAAATTTATGACAGAAGTTAAAAGGAAGATTTTAGAAACACGCTTTAGATTTCCAAAGCCACTGGGACAAATCTTTAATGAACAAAGCAACTGGCCCAAATCGTTGAGGCCTCATCTTTTGCTGGGATGAACGTATGTTGGGTTAGAAGGGACCTCAAAGCCCATTTTGCCCCAAGACCCTGCTGTGGGCTGGTTGCCCCCCACCAGCTCAGCTGCCCAGGACCCCAACCAGCCTTGCCTTGAGCACCTGCAAAGACGGGGCACCCACAGCTCTCTGGGCAGCAGTGCCAGCACCTCGCCAACCAAATCTGGTCAAGTTGGCAGAAGACAGCAAGGTGAGATGAAGTGAGGAGAAAAAGATGGTGGGAAACTGAAGACGTATTGAAGGACAACAAAGAACAGTTGGCAGCGAAGCAAATGTTATTTCTAGAAAGGAAATAGTACTTTGCCTTAACTGCTGTGCAGCGACTGCTTGTGTGAGAGGCTCTTGCTTTGGGTGTCTGTTGAACAAACAATCAGTAGATGCTGATCTCTTGAGGTTTTTTTTTTTTTAATTACTGTTAATAAGCTCATCTTGGGCATGAGTCTGTGTTCTTTAATAGCAAGAATACATTTAGAATTGATTCACTCTGAAAGCAGTTTGTCACATCTTCATCAAATCCTGAAAATATCAGAATGTTGGCACGTTGAGCACAACATCTCATACTTTTTCAGAGCAACATTTAGAGGCACGCTCCAGTTTTAATGATTGTTCTTCATCCCTTGCCCCACAGATATCAGTAGAAGTGTGATAAGGTGCAAGCACTGAAGTGAAACAAATGGGGAAATGCAAGATCCTTCTACTCATATGGAAACTGTTAGATCTTCTTTCTGTCATTGAAGCACACCCTCAGAGTTGCTGCTCTGGCTTTATCACTTATGATTAATTGCATTTGACTTCGTGAAGCTTCTTTTCCTTACTCTCAGAATTTGCATGTAAACATCTTGAGTTTCTTGGTGGGGCCCCTTAATGTTTCCAAGTTTGGCAAGATGTTAATGCAGTTTGAATACGGCAAGAGCTTTGTTACTAACGCTGTATATGAGTGAGCAAGCCTAATTTTTGCATGCTTGAGTTTTAATTAAGTGTCAGTTTTTATCAATGCTTGCTTAGCATTCTCTTTCTGAAGAGACGTGTTGAAGGATACGGTCTCTGGTAAATGAGAATGCAGGGAGTTTGTGTTCATCCAGCTGTGTCGCTTCAAGGTGGGGTTTGCAAATGCTATGAATGTGTGGATGTGAGTAGAATGCTTTGTGTCAGGCGTGAAGCTGTGTGTGCTCCATCCCTGGAGGAGCCCAAGTCCAGGCTGGATGGACCCTGAGCAGCCTGAGCTGGTGAGGGCAGCCTTACCCATGGCAGGGGGCTGGGGCTGGGTGGGCTTTGAGGTCCCTTCTAACTCAAACCATTCTGTGTTCAAGCCATCCTTTTGCTGTCACTGGTTCAGCTTCAGTTTACGCATCGCAGCTAGTTGGTGATGCCATTCACACTGCCATTGAGTAGATGGAAATTTACAGTATGTGCGGCCAGGCAGCTGGTCCTCAGCAATCTCTGCGGTGTTTCCTGGAGCTGTAATGCTTCTTCTCCAAATTGTTTTGCTATCTGAGGTATTTAATGTTTTCAATTTTTTGTTAGACAACTTAAAAAAGATTGAGAGAGGCTGTGCGTTATCAGCAAAAGCATGGTGGATCCCATGTGCATGTGAGAAGTTCCTATTTTATTTTATGGAATAGCAGTAGGAAGGGCTGTAGCCATAAGGAGTACAGTGTGACATCACAGAGGGCAATTAGTTGTTTAGTTTTTTCAGGCTTAAAATCAGTCTTGATGTGCAGAGCATTCTCAGTTTGTTCATCTGACTCAGACTGGTGGTGAACAGCCCTAGTGCTCCTGACAGTGCTGATTGCATTAACTTAATTTCCTTTAAAGAACTGTTATCATCTCCTCCTGCATCTGCAGAATGCCAGAACAGTTCCCAGTGGAAACAGGGGTGTGACACAGTAAGTACTCTATGGCATGGAGGTGTTGCCTTGTTTGCTCCCTCCATGTGTGCTGCTGGCAGGGATGGTTCCAAGACCAAAGTGTGCTTTCAGTCTGTACCACTTTTCCTCTGGAGGAGAGGTTTGTGGCCATGTGCCATCCTGCCAGCTGGGAGCCACAGCTCTTCAGACAGCAGCAAACAGCAGGGTGTTGTCAGGGGCTCAAGGAGTGTTTGGACAATGCCCTCAGCCATAGGGTCTGATTTTTGAGTGGTCTGTGTGGAGCCTGGAGTTGGACTCTGTGATCCCTCTGGGTTCCTCCAACTTGGGATGTTCTGTGATTCTGTGACTGTGAGCTACAGTTCAGTATGGGGGTGTATGTTTGAAACGTTTGTGTGTAGCTACAATGGCCAGGTAAGAGAGTCTGAAGTCATAAACCTGTGGTTCTGAGGCAGTAAAAACTTGATGTTAACTATTATTTTTCTCTCCAAAGCAAGATGTTAGTAATGATATAAGCTAGTATCTGGTAGCCCTTCATGTTGAACCATGAGCAAAGCCTGACATCTCTGTTCACCTGCAAAGTGGGTCCCAAGGAGCAGACTGAGATGGCTGTTCTATCCATACAGCCATTCGTTACTCTGAAGGTGAGTGGCCTGATTTACAGCTGACAAGATGCTGCCCAAGAGCCTGGATGGCCACCACTGTGCCTTTTTAAATACCTACCTTAGCTGTGGGTTTGCCTTAAGGCACGGTGCATTGTTTGATCAAATGGCACATCTGGCTGTTTGGCCAGTATGTAAAGAACCGTTTTCTTGGCAAAGCCATCCTTGTCAGCACACTGATGTAATGATCCAGCAGAGTTTTATGATATCTAGGAAGCGTGGCCCTGACTCTTGTCAGCTCTCCCAGCCAAAGTGAAATCATACAGTGCTTCACTATGGGAGAAGTAATTTAGAAAAAAGACAGTGGAAAGGACAATGAAATATTTCAAAGATAAAACTTCTTGCATATTTGT